AGGAGCAGGCCCAGAGGAGGAGGAGCGGAGGAGGAGGAGTATCACGAGGATGAGGAGCATGGAGGAGGAAGAGGAGGAGGGATGGGAGGAGAGGAGGAGGAGGAGGAAGAGGAAAGGCGGAGGAGGAGGAGGAAAAGGTGGATGAGAAGGAGGAGGGAATGAGGAGGAGGAGGAGGAGGAGGAGGTAGGAGAGGAGGAGGAGGAGGAGGAGGAGGAGGAGGAGGAGGCAGGGGGGCAGGGAGGTGGAGGGAGGCGGAGTAGGAGGAGGAGGAGGAGGAGGAGGAGGAGGAGGAGACGGATGGAGGGGAGGGAGGATGAGGAGGAGGAGGAGGAGGAGGAGGAGGAGGAGGAGATGACAGGAGGTGGAGGAGGTAAATAATGATTGACTTGGATGGATAGGGTTGGGTGTGGTCGGGCGTTTCTCGGAATCTCCCTTGCGAGGAAGCCACCGGCCGGGGTGGCCGAAGTGGTCAGAGCGCTCCAGCACACGAGCAGGACCAGAAGGCTTGGAGTGCACGGAAGTTCGGCGAGGGAGCCCTTTGGGGTCAGGTCCGAAACGGCGTCAGCGACCTGGGCCCCCGACGTCGTGAGGCGAGTTTTTCAACAGCGCAGAAACCCCAGATGACCTGGCCCCTCCTCGGGAGCGGCTTCTCGCGTGGGGCCTTCCTCCGGCGGCCGCCGGAGCCCAACGAGGGCCCCGGGGGCTTGCCGAGGGCCGCCGAAAATGCGCCCCACGTCGTTCGCGAGGAGGCGGCGTCGACAGGGCGCTCGGGAGGAGGCCTTCTGGCGCAGGGCGTGGGAGGAGGAGGAACAGAAGGAGGTGGAGGAGGAGGAAGAGGAGGAGCAGGAGTAGGAGGAGGAGTAGGAGGAGGAGGAGGAGGAGGAGGAGGAGGAGGAGGAGGAGTCCAGGGGCAACCTTGGGGTGTAGATAACCCCGTGCCCCACATAATACAGCATCCCCCCTGAAGACCTGGGCCTGGGAGTTGCTTATCCTGGGGCAAGGCAGAGTTGGCCAGGTGAAAGGTGCTGCGAGGCCGGACTTGGTTCACGTCGTGGAACTTACGAGTCGAATTTGCTGTTTTCTTATGTTGATTAGGGCATTAAGCGCTATTATATTTCTCTCTCTCTCTCTCTCTGCTTCTGCGTCTTCATCCTACTCTAGGACGACGACTGCTGCTGCTGCTACTGCTACTACTACTTCTACTACTACTGTTACTACCACTATTGTTCTGAGTATTACCGCTACCGCTACTACGATGACTATTACGATTCTGATTTTTTCTTCTACTTTTCTTCCTACTAGTAGTACGCCTTCTACTACTACTCTTACGTCTATTTTTCAAATAGACCGATTCCCAGTACCATTGCTTGTCACTTGTAGTATAACTACTCGTAATAGTACTAGTACTAGTAGCAGTAGTATTATTTGTTAATTCGTACTACTACGACTAGTACTACTACGGCTACGGCTACTTTTACTATTGCCACTGCTCCTACGACTGCTAAGATTGTTCATATCATCATTATTGATGATGCCACACGTTTGACGACTACGACTACTACTGATACCATTGCTACCGCTACTACAACTACTACGGCTTTTTGTCCACCACTACAGTCTCTACTGCGACAGCTCCTACTTCTACGACTACACGTACGTTCTACTTCCATTATTACCACCAATACAGTCTTCCAGTATTACAAGTACAACGACTATTACTACCACCACCACCACCACTATTATTATTACTACTACTACTATCACTACTACTACTACTACTACTACTACTACTACTATTACTTTTTTACTTTTCTACTTCTACTACTACGACTACCACTACTACACTGACTTACTATTGTCACTACTACTACTGCGACCACTAGTACTTCCGCCAGTACTATTACCATTCCCACTCGTATTACTACGGCTACTACAACGACGACTACTACTGCTACTACTACTTCTACTACTGCATAGTGTACCCGCACCTCCCACGGGTGACCTGTTTCTATTAATGAGTAGTTTTATCGTTTGAGAATTTTCGAGAGGAGCCCGTCCACACGTGGACTTGCACACCCGTTTGAATCAATTGTGTTGCAAGGAATTTAGGAGCGTCCGACATTTTTGTTTCCAGAATGTTTTTCTCTTCTTCTCATCCTTGGATGCTGCTATTACTACTACTGCTGCTCCTATTGCTTCTATGCGTGCTATTACGACTATTCTCCTTATTGCTACTACCGCTACTACTACTACTTCTACTACTACCGCTACTGCTGCTACTACTGCTACTGTTGCTGCTTTATGATGATTACTAGTATTACCAGTACTACCACTAGTACGGCGACACTTACCACCACCACTATTAGTACAGGGCCTACTGCTACTGGTCGTATTATTGCTACTACTACTAGTACTACTTGTATTACTACTACTACTACTGCTACTACTATTACTACTGCGTGTGTTAGTATCACCATTGCTAATGCCATCGCTGCTCTC